TGGGTTGCCCAGGAGGCAGCAGGGTCGCAGCAGTGTCAGTGGAGGCAAACGGCCACGGAGTAGAGCACCAGCTCCACTGCAGCCTACCACCACGGCCAGTAGTGGTGCCGGTGTGCACGGAGGAAGTAGCAGTCAGCCAGTGAGGAGTATCGGGGGCAAAGTTTCCTACTCGGCGGTGTGGCAATTTTTCGTCAAGCCGCCCGAGGAAGTAAACGTAGCCCGTATGTCGACTATGTGGCCAGAAAGTCAAGCGTGGCCAGGGGGCCCATGTGTTGGGACTACAGCGTTGCGGCAGCATATGCAGCGTCGCCATTTGGTGGCCTGGGAAAACCGTGATAAAGATACGGCGGTTCTGCCTGCCCCAGCCCCCGCTCCATCACCCGCTCCGTTACTTGCTCCGTCACCCGACGTCAATCGCCCTCTATCAGCCAGTCAAGGCTCCAAACACCTCTGCTGAGGGGAGTTGTCGCTCGTTGCATCTTCCGCTCGTTCAGATGCTCCTTCTCCTGCTACTCCTCCTTCACGGATTCCGTCAGCAGTCTTTCTTGGAATCCGTTTCCAAGAGACAACAGTTTGCGAGCACGCACCCGACGGTGCAAAAGCTGAACGTCCTCCTGTCCAAGTTGCTGGTGCTGCAGTCCCTCCCTTTCCAAGTGGTGGACTCAGCACCTTTCCGAGAAATGATGGCTTGTGCCGCGCCGCGGTGGAGAGTGCCAAGCCGTCATTTCTTCGCCAAAAAGGCAGTGCCAGCCCTGCATTCACATGTAGAAGAGATGGTGGGCCAGTCTTTGAGCATGTCGGTCTCTGCCAAAGTGCACGGCAGCGCCGACGTGTGGAGCTGTAACTACGGTCAGGGACAGTACATGTCATTTACGGCCCACTGGGTGAACGTGGTGCCGGCACAGCCGCACCAGCAACTTGGACAGGTCACGCCGCTTTTGCCTCCACGTTTGCACGTCCTTGGTCCACAAAAGATGTCCGCCTCTACCACCCTCTTCTTCCTTCGTGTCCTCAGCCGCCACCCCCGTGCCAAGTCCCATTACCCGACCGGCATATCACATGTGCAGGGCGCAACGGTGTCACGCTGTGCTGCACCTGGTATGCCTTGGCGAACGTAGTCACACAGGGGGGAGGAACTTTCTGAGTGTAATGAACAGAGAAATCGACAGATGGCTGTCTCCGCGCAAACTGAAAATCGGAACCATGTTGACCGACAACGGAAAGAACATGGTGTCTGCTCTGCGTCAAGGAAGGTTGTGCCATGCGCCATGCATGGCTCACGTGTTCAATCTGGTTGTCAAGCGGTTCCTAAAATCCACCATCCCACTGCAAGACATCCTTAAAATGTCACGTAAACTTTGCATGCATTTCAGCCATTTACACCGCGGCAAAGCACACCCTCCTTGAGCTGGAGCGGCTGAACGGAATTTCACAGCCAGTCGCCTGATCTATGACGTCCTCAACCAGAACGCGCTCTCCTGCGCGCCCCAGGGGGCGCGCAACCCGGCGATCTCCGTGATCGCTGTGTCCTACGGACACAGCTGATCACGTGATGTGGTGAAAGGCCGACCACGGCCTTTTACCACGTGATCAGCGGTGTCCAATGACACGCTGATCACAGGGAAATGCAAGTGCCGGTTCTCGGTCTGCACTTTCCTCACGCTGTCAGATCGTGAGGAAAGTACTGCGAGAACCGGCAGTTGTCAGAGCGGGGATCGGCACCGATCATCAGGGCACTGATGATCAGTGCCCTGATGATCGGTGCCCAGCAGTGACACCCGCAAGTTTGTGCCCAGCATGTGCGCCCACTAGCCCCGCCCACCCGTGCCCAGCAGTGCACACCTGTGCCCAGCAGTGCCCCCAGCAGTGCACCCACCTGTGCCACTCTGCAGTGCCACTCTACCTGTGCCCAGAAGTTTTTGCCACCTACATGTGCCCAGCAGTGCCACCAACCTGTGCCCACCCACCTGTGCAGAGGACCCACCAGTGCCACCCACCTGTGCCCACCAGTGCCACCCACCTGTGGCCCACCCACCAGTGCCGCCCACCAGTGCAGCCCAGCAGTGCTGCCAGTCAGTGCCACCAGTCAGTGCCCATAACAAGGTCAGTGCCGCCAGTCAGTTTTGCTGTCCACCTTGTGAGGCCAGGTTAGTCCCTATCAGTTCCCATCATCAGCCTTTTGTCACACCTGCTATCAGTGCTGCCATATCAGTGCCGCCTATCTGTGCCACCTCATTAGTACTGCCTATCAGTGCCCTTTAGTGCTGCCTATCAGTGCCATCAGTGCCGCCTATCCATCAGTGCCGCCTCATCAACGCAAATCAGTCCAGGAGAAAAAAATCGCTGTTGAAAAATTTTATAAAAGAAACAAATAAACTTTTTTTTTTTTTTTTCAAATTTTTTGCACTTTTTTTATTTTTAGCTACCAGCTGGCTGTAAAGCCGTCTGCAGTGGCGATTAAATACCACCAAAGAAAGCTCTATTTGTGAGAGCAAAAGCATGATCAAAATTTCATATGGGTACAATGTTGCTGTGACGACGCGCGCAATTGTCGATCAAAGTGCGTGAGGGCAGCGCTCAAAGCTGAAAATTGGCCTGGTAAGGAAGGGGGTGCCACAGTGCCTGGTAGGCAAGTGGTTAAAATGTCACGTAAACTTTGCATGCATTTCAGCCATTCCTACACCGCAAAGCACACACCCTCCTTGAGCTGCAGCGGCAGAACGGAATTCCACAGCATCGGGATCTGCGACGTTGCAACAAGGTGGAATTCAACCCTACACATGTTAGACCGCCTTTACGAGCAGCGAAAGGCCATCACCGATTTCCTGATGTTACACAGCGGATAAAGGTACTCCCCTGTGTAACTTCGATGTCGAAAGCCATTGGCAGCTCATGCGTGACACCTGCCGCTTGCTCAGGCCCTTTGAGGAGGCCACGCTATTCGTGAGTCGGCAGGACTATGGGATGAACGACGTTCATTCCTCTGTTGCACGTCCTGGAACAAATGATGTTAACAATGGCTGGTCAGGGTGTGCGGTAGACGTGGCGCACAGATCTCAACGCCACATGACCCCTGTGGGGGCAGGACAGGAAGAAGAGGAGGAGGTAGAGGAGGACATTTGTGCTCAGGAATTATTGAGTGAAATGGGTGGTTTTTCCACTCAGCGGACAGGAGTGGAGAGCAGGAGCATCTGGTAGAGGAGGAGGAGGAGGAACAGAGGACCCAGACGCACCGTGGCAGTATGCTGTGGAGATGGAGGCAGGGAGTCCCTCGCATTCCTTGGCACAAATGGCCCATAGCATGCTCGGTTGCTTGCGTAGCGACAGCCGAATAATAACCATCAGACAGAGGGATGACTTTTGGCTGTCCACCTTGTTGGACCCTCGCTACCGTTCAAAAAATGGTGGCCTTTTTCACACCTGCTGAGAGGGAGGCCCAAAATAACGTACTATAAAAAACCACCTATGTAGTCAGTTGGTCTCTGCCTTTGTGCGCCAACGTCCATCCTCAGACACTGTGGGCCCTGTGCGCTCGCGTTCCGCTGCCATGGCAGCAGGGGAGGGGTGGGGTGGTAGGAGCAGTGGCAGCTCCACCAGCAGCGGCTGCCTCAGTCTGCAGTCGATGATGAGTAGCTTTTTTTCACCAGCGCAGTGAGGAAACTACTAACCAGCCGCAGCAGCAGCAGCATCAGGTGGACCTGGAGCAGGACCTCAAACAACAGGCTTGGGCCTACTTGGACAGCACCCTGCCAACCGAGGTAGACAATCCCCTTGACTACTGGGCAACGAAACTTGACCTTTGGCCCCAACTAGCTGAATTTGCCCTTGAAAGGCTGTCATGCCCGGCCAGTAGCGTGGCATCGGAGCGCGTGTTTAGTGCATAGGGCAGGAGGTATTGTAACTCCGCGGAGGACACGACTGTCCACCCAAAGTGTGGAGAGACTCACGTTTGTGAAAATGAATCAGGCGTGGATTAGTCTGGATTTCAAACCACCAGTTCCTGACACAACTGACTAAATCTGCCATGAATCATGCCCCAAACATGTGCCACTTTCAGGTCTCCTCACACTGCTGGTGTGTGTTCCATTTTTTGTCATAGGGTGCTGGCAGATTACGGGCCTCCCATAGCTGCTGCCAGGCCCCTAATCTGCCATGGGCCCCTGTACCGCCTCCTCATGCTGCTGCCAGGTCCAGAGTCTCTCATGGGTCCCTGTACGGCCTCCCATTGCTGCTGTCTCCATCGCCACACTCTGCCATGTGCCACTTTCAGGTCTCCCTCACACTGCTGGTGTGTTCCATTTTTTGTCATAGGGTGCTGGCAGATTACGGGCCTCCCATAGCTGCTGCCAGGCCCCTAATCTGCCATGGGCCCCTGTACCTACCGCCTCCTCATGCTGCTGCCAGGTCCACAGTCTCTCATGGGTCCCTGTACGGCCTGCCATTGCTGCTGTCTCCATTCTGCCATGTGCCACTTTCAGGTCTCCTCACACTGCTGTGTTTCCATTTCCATTTTTTGTCATAGGGTGCTGGCAGATTACGGGCCTCCCATTGCTGCTGCCAGGCCCCTAATCTGCCATGGGCCCCTGTACCGCCTCCTCATGCTGCTGCCAGGTCCAGAGTGTCTCATGGGTCCCTGTACGGCCTCCCATTGCTGCTGTCTCCATCGCCACACTCTGCCATGTGCCACTTTCAGGTCTCCTCACACACTGCTGGTGTGTTCCATTTTTTGTCATAGGGTGCTGGCAGATTACGGGCCTCCCATAGCTGCTGCCAGGCCCCTAATCTGCCATGGGCCCCTGTACCGCCTCCTCATGCTGCTGCCAGGTCCCAGTGTCTCATGGGTCCCTGTACGGCCTCCCATTGCTGCTGCTGTCTCCATCGCACACTCTGCCATGTGCCACTTTCAGGTCTCCTCACACTGCTGGTGTGTTCCATTTTTTGTCATAGGGTGCTGGCAGATTACGGGCCTCCCATAGCTGCTGCTGCCACCCTAATCTGCCATGGGCCCCTGTACCGCCTCCTCATGCTGCTGCCAGGTCCAGAGTCTCTCATGGGTCCCTGTACGGCCTCCCATTGCTGCTGTCTCCATCGCCACACTCTGCCATGTGCCACTTTCAGGTCTCCTCACACACTGCTGGTGTGTTCCATTTTTTTGTCATAGGGTGCTGGCAGATTACGGGCCTCCCATAGCTGCTGCCAGGCCCCTAATCTGCCATGGGCCCCTGTACCGCCTCCTCATGCTGCTGCCAGGTCCAGAGTCTCTCATGGGTCCCTGTACGGCCTCCCATTGCTGCTGTCTCCATCGCCCACTCTGCCATGTGCCACTTTCAGGTCTCCTCACACACTGCTGGTGTGTTCCATTTTTTGTCATAGGGTGCTGGCAGATTACGGGCCTCCCATAGCTGCTGCCAGGCCCCTAATCTGCCATGGGCCCCTGTACCGCCTCCTCATGCTGCTGCTGCCAGGTCCACATGGGTGTCTCATGCCATGTGCATGTGCCACTTTCAGGTCTCCTCACACTGCTGGTGTGTTCCATTTTTTGTCATAGGGTGCTGGCAGATTACGGGCCTCCCATAGCTGCTGCCAGGCCCCTAATCTGCCATGGGCCCCTATACCGCCTCCTCATGCTGCTGCCAGGTCCAGAGTCTCTCATGGGTCCCTGTACGGCCTCCCATTGCTGCTGTCTCCATCGCCACACTCTGCCATGTGCCACTTTCAGGTCTCCTCACACACTGCTGGTGTGTTCCATTTTTTGTCATAGGGTGCTGGCAGATTACGGGCCTCCCATAGCTGCTGCCAGGCCCCTAATCTGCCATGGGCCCCTGTACCGCCTCCTCATGCTGCTGCCAGGTCCAGAGTCTCTCTCATGGGTCCCTGTACGGCCTCCCATTGCTGCTGTCTCCATCGCCACACTCTGCCATGTGCCACTTTCAGGTCTCCACACACTGCTGGTGTGTTCCATTTTTTGTCATAGGGTGCTGGCAGATTACGGGCCTCCCATAGCTGCTGCCAGGCCCCTAATCTGCCATGGGCCCCTGTACCGCCTCTACCGCCTCCTCATGCTGCTGTCCCAGTGTCCAGTCTCTCATGGTGCTGTCCCTGTCTCTCCCCATTGCTGCTGTCTCCATCGCCACACTCTGCCCATGTGCCACTTTCAGGTCTCCTCACACTGCTGCTGGTGTGTTCCATTTTTTGTCATAGGGTGCTGGCAGATTACGGGCCTCCCATAGCTGCTGCCAGGCCCCTAATCTGCCATGGGCCCCTATGTACCGCCTCCTCATGCTGCTGCCAGGTCCAGAGTCTCTCATGGGTCCCTGTACGGCCTCCCATTGCTGCTGTCTCCATCGCCACACTCTGCCATGTGCCACTTTCAGGTCTCCTCACACACTGCTGGTGTGTTCCATTTTTTGTCATAGGGTGCTGGCAGATTACGGGCCTCCCAGCTGCTGCTGCCAGGCCCCTATCTGCCATGGGCCCCTGTACCGCCTCCTCATGCTGCTGCCAGGTCCAGAGTCTCTCATGGGTCCCTGTACGGCCTCCCATTGCTGCTGTCTCCATCGCCACACTCTGCCATGTGCCACTTTCAGGTCTCCTCACACACTGCTGGTGTGTTCCATTTTTTGTCATAGGGTGCTGGCAGATTACGGGCCTCCCATAGCTGCTGCCAGGCCCCTAATCTGCCATGGGCCCCTGTACCGCCTCCTCATGCTGCCTGTCCAGGTCCACAGTGTCTCATGCCATGTGCCACTTTCAGGTCTCTCCTCACACTGTGTGTGTGTTCCATTTTTTGTCATAGGGTGCTGGCAGATTACGGGCCTCCCATTGCTGCTGCCAGGCCCCTAATCTGCCATGGGCCTGTACCGCCTCCTCATGCTGCTGCCAGGTCCAGAGTCTCTCATGGGTCCCTGTACGGCCTCCCATTGCTGCTGTCTCCATCGCCACACTCTGCCATGTGCCACTTTCAGGTCTCCTCACACTGCTGGTGTGTTCCATTTTTTGTCATAGGGTGCTGGCAGATTACGGGCCTCCCATAGCTGCTGCCAGGCCCCTAATCTGCCATGGGCCCCTGTACCGCCTCCTCATGCTGCTGCCAGGTCCAGAGTCTCTCATGGGTCCCTGTACGGCCTCCCATTGCTGCTGTCTCCATCGCCACACTCTGCCATGTGCCACTTTCAGGTCTCCTCACACACTGCTGGTGTGTTCCATTTTTTGTCATAGGGTGCTGGCAGATTACGGGCCTCCCATAGCTGCTGCCAGGCCCCTAATCTGCCATGGGCCCCTGTACCGCCTCCTCATGCTGCTGCTGCCAGGTCCAGAGTCTCTCATGGGTCCCTGTACGGCCTCCCATTGCTGCTGTCTCCATCGCCACACTCTGCCATGTGCCACTTTCAGGTCTCCTCACACACTGCTGGTGTGTTCCATTTTTTGTCATAGGGTGCTGGCAGATTACGGGCCTCCCATAGCTGCTGCCAGGCCCCTAATCTGCCATGGGCCCCTGTACCGCCTCCTCATGCTGCTGCCAGGTCCCAGTCTCTCATGGGTCCCTGTACGGCCTCCCATTGCTGCTGTCTCCATCGCCACACTCTGCCATGTGCCACTTTCAGGTCTCCTCACACTGCTGGTGTGTTCCATTTTTTGTCATAGGGTGCTGGCAGATTACGGGCCTCCCATAGCTGCTGCCAGGCCCCTAATCTGCCATGGGCCCCTGTACCGCCTCCTCATGCTGCTGCCAGGTCCACAGTGTCTCATGGGTCCCTGTACGGCCTCCCATTGCTGCTGTCTCCATCGCCACACACTCTGCCATGTGCCACTTTCAGGTCTCCTCACACACTGCTGGTGTGTTCCATTTTTTGTCATAGGGTGCTGGCAGATTACGGGCCTCCCATAGCTGCTGCCAGGCCCCTAATCTGCCATGGGCCCCTGTACCGCCCTCCTCATGCTGCTGCCAGGTCCAGAGTCTCTCATGGGTCCCTGTACGGCCTCCCATTGCTGCTGTCTCCATCGCCACACTCTGCCATGTGCCACTTTCAGGTCTCCTCACACACTGCTGGTGTGTTCCATTTTTTGTCATAGGGTGCTGGCAGATTACGGGCCTCCCATAGCTGCTGCCAGGCCCCTAATCTGCCATGGGCCCCTGTACCGCCTCCTCATGCTGCTGCCAGGTCCAGAGTCTCTCATGGGTCCCTGTACGGCCTCCCATTGCTGCTGTCTCCATCGCCACACTCTGCCATGTGCCACTTTCAGGTCTCCTCACACTGCTGGTGTGTTCCATTTTTTTGTCATAGGGTGCTGGCAGATTACGGGCCTCCCATAGCTGCTGCCAGGCCCCTAATCTGCCATGGGCCCCTGTACCGCCTCCTCATGCTGCTGCCAGGTCCAGAGTGTCTCATGGGTCCCTGTACGGCCTCCCATTGCTGCTGTCTCCATCGCCACACTCTGCCATGTGCCACTTTCAGGTCTCCTCACACACTGCTGGTGTGTTCCATTTTTTGTCATAGGGTGCTGGCAGATTACGGGCCTCCCATAGCTGCTGCCAGGCCCCTAATCTGCCATGGGCCCCCTGTACCGCCTCCTCATGCTGCTGCCAGGTCCAGAGTCTCTCATGGGTCCCTGTACGGCCTCCCATTGCTGCTGTCTCCATCGCCACACTCTGCCATGTGCCACTTTCAGGTCTCTCCTCACACACTGCTGGTGTGTTCCATTTTTTGTCATAGGGTGCTGGCAGATTACGGGCCTCCCATAGCTGCTGCCAGGCCCCTAATCTGCCATGGGCCCCTGTACCGCCTCCTCATGCTGCTGCCAGGTCCCAGAGTCTCTCATGGGTCCCTGTGCCTCCCATTGCTGCTGTCTCCATCATGCCATGTGCCACTTTCAGGTCTCCTCACACTGCTGGTGTGTGTTCCATTTTTTGTCATAGGGTGCTGGCAGATTACGGGCCTCCCATAGCTGCTGCTGCCAGGCCCCTAATCTGCCATGGGCCCCTGTACCGCCTCCTCATGCTGCTGCTGCCAGGTCCAGAGTCTCTCATGGGTCCCTGTACGGCCTCCCATTGCTGCTGTCTCCATCGCCACACTCTGCCATGTGCCACTTTCAGGTCTCCTCACACACTGCTGGTGTGTTCCATTTTTTGTAGGGTGCTGGCAGATTACGGGGGTGCTGGCAGATTACGGGCCCCCATAGCTGCCTGCCATGCTGGCCCCTAATCTGCCATGGGCCCCTGTACCGCCTCCTCATGCTGCTGCCAGGTCCACAGTGTCTCATGCCATGTGCCACTTTCAGGTCTCCTCACACACTGCTGGTGTGTTCCATTTTTTGTCATAGGGTGCTGGCAGATTACGGGCCTCCCATAGCTGCTGCCAGGCCCCTAATCTGCCATGGGCCCCTGTACCGCCTCCTCATGCTGCTGCCAGGTCCAGAGTCTCTCTGCCATGGGTCCCTGTACGGCCTCCCATTGCTGCTGCCTCCATCGCCACAGCTGTGTGCCATGGAGGCCACTTTCAGGTCTCCCTCACAGCTACTCCCTGTGGTGTTCCATTTTTTGTCATAGGGTGCTGGCAGATTACGGGCCTCCCATAGCTGCTGCTGCCAGGCCCCTAATCTGCCATGGGCCCCTGTACCGCCTCCTCATGCTGCTGCCAGGTCCAGAGTCTCTCATGGGTCCCTGTACGGCCTCCCATTGCTGCTGCCAGGAGGCAGCAGGGTCGCAGCAGTGTCAGTGGAGGCAAACGGCCACGGAGTAATCGCCAGCACCAGCTCCACTGCAGCCTACCACCATGGCCAGTAGTGGTGCCGGTGTGCACTGGAGGAAGTTAGCATTTTCAGCCAGTGAGGAGTAGCTGGGGGCAAACGGGTTTCCTACTCGGCTGCTGCTGGCAATTTTTCGTCAAGCTGCCCGAGGGTAAACTTGTACCGTCCTCATGTTGACTATGTGGCCAGAAAGTCAAGCGTGGCCATGGGGCCATGTTGGGACTACAGCGTTGCGTCAGCATATGCAGCGTCGCCATTCGGTCTGCCATGGGAAAACACTTTCAGGTCTCCTGCCTGCCCCAGCCCAGGGTTCCATTTTTTTGTCATAGGGTGCTGGCAGATTACGGGCCTCCCATTGCTGCTGCCAGGCCTTAATCTGCCATGGGCCCCTGTACCGCCTCCTCATGCTGCTGCCAGGTCCACAGTGTCTCATGGGGGGTCCCTGTACGGCCTCCCATTGCTGCTGTCTCCATCGCCACACTCTGCCATGTGCCACTTTCAGGTCTCCTCACACTGCTGGTGTGTTCCATTTTTTGTCATAGGGTGCTGGCAGATTACGGGCCTCCCATTGCTGCTGCCAGGCCCGTAATCTGCCATGGGCCCCAGTACCGCCTCCTCATGCTGCTGCCAGGTCCAGTCAGTCTCTCATGGGTCCCTGTACGGCCTCCCATTGCTGCTGTCTCCATCGCCACACTCTGCCATGTGTGCCACTTTCAGGTCTCCTCACACACTGCTGGTGTGTTCCATTTTTTGTCATAGGGTGCTGGCAGATTACGGGCCTCCCATAGCTGCTGCCAGGCCCCTAATCTGCCATGGGCCCCTGTACCGCCTCCTCATGCT